AGAAGGCCAAGAGGTTTTCGGTCTGAAGGACAGATATCCTGTACATTGCGCCACTTGTCGATGCACTATAAGTTGTCAAAGAGGTGATGACAAAGTAGTAGGAAGAATTAACTAATAAAATATAGTTAAACAGACTTCTTTGCAAAAGGTGTGACCACACGGAGCTCTGAAAGGATTAACGAATATTTCTTGACAAATAGGACAATTGAGATGGCTACTGAGCGCGGAGGGGTTGATAAAATGCCTGAAACAAGGATGGGTTAAACAAGTGAGTTTGGGCAAATGACAAAGCAAGGCTATTACAATATCGTAAATTTTTGAATAAAACAGTTATCTAAAAATATAAGAGAAAAGTTTTTAACCTCTCCTCCGCGGGAACGACAGATTCGGGTCTTTGTGGGGTTTTGCGGGACCGCTTGGTGGCTGAGCGAGGCATAGACAGTCGAGGTACAAAAACCAAATAAGTGCCTCAAAAATTACTTTAAAAAATATAATTGTAAAAAATAAATAATAAAAAAAGTTTGTTAAAATCTAGAAATGAAAAACTTTATGTTATTACTTTGTGTTACTATAGCACCGAATCAAAGTTGCTTACATTTGTTGGTATCGCCAAATCCCAGTCATGTCTTTCAGAGAAATTCGTTGCTTTACTGAGGCAATGAAAGCACTCGGATTTCCGAGACTAATTTCTATGGAGAGCTTTAGAACGCCAAATTTTTATTTGGTGGCTGAAATACTTCGGTGGCTTGCGACGCGTTATGATTCAGATGCCGATTTACCAACCACCCTTGACACAGAGCAAGATCGAGTTATTTTCGTCAAATCTGCTGCTCATTTTATAGCAACAAAAGCAGGGATACGTCTTAATACTAAAAAGCTTTATCAAGCAGATGGCTATGCTATTAAGGAGTTGATGAAGATTAGTAATGTATTATATTCCGCAACTCGTAAAGAGTCTTCAAATAGATCCGAAGAACTATCGGATCTAAATGTAAACGAGCTTTTTGATATTTCTAAGGTAACTTGCTGGCAAGTGAAGCTCAGATCCTAGGCGAAAATGGACTTAATTTTCTACACAGTTATTATAAGTAGTATATCTGAGTTAATATATCTTAGTTATTGTTTATAATAATATGCTTTTTTT